AAATTTGGTTGCGAAATGTTGTAAAGCTTGGAAAATATAGCCTTGCAAAGTTTGCATATTTTCAGTATATTTGTATTACGAGCGGAAATTGTTACCATTTTCGGCTCAAAAATTGTAACAATTTCCGCACGTAATACAAATATACTGAAAATATGCAAACTTTGCAAGGCTATATTTTCCAAGCTTTACAACATTTCGCAACCAAATTTTGCACTTTTACTAATTTCAATATGTTCTTTTTAACTGTGGTGTCTGATTCCCTTTTCTCTGCTTAGATTAAAATTTTGTCTAACATGCAAGTTGTCCATTAGCAAAGAATCCGTATATCCAAAATACATGCACACAAAGGCTGGATTTTCTCTTGTCTACAATGGTAGGGTATAATTAAAGAGATCAATGAAATTGCTTAACAAGTCAGCAATTGCTGAACAAAATCTATATATCACTGGAAAAATGGCGTCCTAAACACAGGATGAATATATGTTTGTGAAGGTTATAACAAGTCAAAATCATCTTTCATGTCATTATACTCCATGACATGTTTTCTAATCTTTGATGTATCCGTCCATGTTATGAAATCCTCCATATTCCGTGTGACCAGGAAAGCTGGGTCTGTAATAACCTCTGGTCCAACTCTCACGTGACCTTGCTCTATATATTTCACTGCATCTTTCACAGCTTGTGTCATGCGTAGTCGAACCATCACTACAGGTAAACGTCGTCTGCAAAATGCAGAAGCGGAGAGCTTTTCACACAGTGCTAGATTCTTCTTAGTCGGGATTGTGCCCATATTATAAAGCTTCTCTAACAGCATGTCAGTACATTCAGCCCTGAAGGGATCCTTTGGGTTTAGTTCTTTTATTTTATGTGCCAGAGACTTGGCCATGTTGCACAGCTTGTTGTATTTCGTGTAATCCTCCCGCTTCTGAATATGATATTTTCTTAGAATTTTTACTTCGCGAATATTATTGTCGCTTTTCCACGAGATGAAGTCAACTTTTTTAAGTAACTTTTTCTCGTGAAACTTTAAAGATCTCACCATTTTCAAAGCAATATAAAATACCACGTTTGTTGGTGGTTGTAAATTACACTGAGGGGCAAATACTTCATGTATGATAAAATTATAGTAAACACACGCGTGTCACACGTGTGTTTACTATAATTTTAAATAAATAAAACAAGATTATGCTCGTTGGAGTTTTAATCATATATGGAAAAAAAAAGCTAAGTATAGTTCTGCCACAGAGGGTTCTGTGGTTAGGTTTTTTCCATAATCTTTTGGCTGGGCGGGTGGTCCCACGCGCGTCGTGTCCTGCGCAGAATCGCATGGAATATTTCATTTATTACAATATGAAGTATCATGGAATCGCACGTGTGACTGTTGGTCAGTGCATATCAAATTATCAATGGTGTGTAAATGTATAACATGCAACAATACCATAAATAATTGAAAGGCATATATATATATAGGTGTGTATTTGGATAATGTTGTATTTGATTGGATTAGGGCTTGGTAATGCGAAAGACATCAGTGTTAAAGGACTTGAAATAGTGAAGAATGCTAAAGAAGTATATCTTGAAGCTTACACCTCGATTCTCACTGTTGGAAAAGATGCTTTGGTAAGATTGGTTGACATATACATTGTCAATGTTTGTGGGCATCGACACACTTCGGTGACATCTGTAGTAGCTGAAGGCCATAAAACTCCCTTCTGAAAAGAACGTCACTTTGGCTATAGTCTGTAGAGCCTCATTTTCATGTAGTGACATTATTTAAAAGCCATATGTCTCAATCGTGAAAACAATTAAGGCTCTATAGCCAAGGTGACATACTTTGGCTATGTGATGTTGTGATATTGTTCACTTGGTATGAAAGGATATGAAATGTTCTTGAGTATCAATATGAATTATTCCAAACTGTTCAAATACAGAAAATTCTGCCTGCTGCGTGACTCGATCTATACCAACTGAGTAGCCTGCGTTGCAGGCCGTTTATTTACTTGCAGGCAGTGAGAAAAACAGATGCCTGCCATAATCCCATTGCCATTACTTAAACATTTTTGCCCCTTTTACAAATTTACAGTGATTGACATTTGCAATTAACAGTCCATTTATTATATGGACATGGTGTTTTACTGGAAACTAAAACACTTGTATTTCACCCCTGCTAGTGACAGACGAAGTTCAAAAATTTCCCGCCATTTTATTACGAAAGTCACCGAACTGTGGAATTGCATCAACAATTCGTATATCGACCACTCCCACAAACGTCTACGACCGTGCCTACATAGTTTTGCATGTTTATAATTCTAATTTTAAACAGCCAATTACCAAGAACTTGATTGGCTGTTCAAAATTAGAATTGTAAACATGCAAAACTATGTAGGTGCCGTCGTAGACGTTTGTGGGAGTGGTCGACATATGAATTTTTGATGCGATTCCACAGTTCGGTGACTTTCGTAATAATTGCTGTTGTTTTGAAAATACAAATGGTCTTTGATTCGTATTTAAACAAAATTAACGTTGGAAATAAAACGAAAACATTTAAAAGACATCTTAAGATAAGTAAAATTTATTCTAGTTTTATGTTTGCACTATAATTTAAAAAAATGTCGCATTTACACTCACTGGTCTTTCGTGTGCTTTAATATTTACATGTCGTCTTTGTGTGTATTTTTGTCACTCTGAGTATGTCCATATAATAAACAGAACATTAAACGGTTGCAAGAAGATATGGATTTATCATTTATGTTCTCATGTCAAAAACAATATCTCACTCGTTCGCTGCGCTCACTCGTGAGATATTGTTTTTGCCACTCGAACATAAAATCCATATCTCTTCGCAACTGTCTAATATCCTCTATATATTACACATTATCCATTCACTTTCAAGATTTCTAATTAGCATCATGTGTGTTCTTTCACTGCAACTTATAATTGCTTTTACACGTTCCCCACAAAGTTGGCTTCACTGTATTTTTGACACAAGTGTTGGGAATGCAAATACTCCAAACAAGGAAGTGAAGTCTAAATCTGGTAGGAAGATATCCAGTACTGATACAGTTTTCGTATTTGTAAGTGTTCCTTCAAGCTGGAAAAGGTCCCTTCTTTTAACTTTAATAAGGCCTTCTTTTAACTTTAATAAGGAGGAGAATATTGATGGTATTCCCTTTGTAAGTTCATTAGCAGTATTAATTTAATCCAGACAGTGTCTTCCATGTTGTTCACATTTTCAGCCATTTTGAAGAAAGCAGAATGGAATGAAAAGCCTTTAAGGTGGCTAGCTACACTTTTTTAAAAATTAAAGATTTTCTAATTATAAATTTTAAATTAAGGTTTATTACAATTACATTTTCCTGATCTTGAAAAATTTTGGCATGATCATGGAATTTTTTTTAAATTAGAAAAATAATTCAAAATACCAATAGAATTTATTTTATGAAATAAAAAATGGAGGTGACAGACCTTTTTTCAAGTTAAATTACTTTAATTAAACATAAAATATCTGCCATGTTGTGATGTCATTGACTCATTGTTGCCATAGAAACGGCTGTTAGTAGTGATATTCTTTGTTTTAAAAATTAAACAAGTTATTAATAATTGTCCAGAAAATCATATCCAAATCAGAAAATCTTTAATTTAAAAAAGTGTAGGGAGCCGCCACCCTAAGTGTCAATGTGTCCAGATCGATGCGCCCCACTTTTATATTAGGAAATAGGGTTGGACCATTATTTTTTTGGGGGGATGGACATTTCGTCAACGCAAACAATTGTTTTGGTGTTGTCGTTGCAAACAATTTTTTTGCACCTGCTTCCTTCTGCAAACAATTTTTTTGTCCATCTGATTCTGTGGATTTCATTATAAATTGAATATATATAGTTTAATTTGTGCCCGATTACAGTTACACTATTGCATGTGTGATTGAACAACATGTGGTTTTGTCAGAAGTATAAATTTAATATGTAAACAGACATTTAATAGTTTTTTTTGGTATACTGGTCAGAGCCTTTTTTAAGGATTTTCCCGTGAAAAGGGACCTTTCTGTGAGATAATATATTAGAGGGGGATAGAAATGGCTGAAGGCCACAGGCAGGGTCTGGGGGCATATTCCCGCAGAAAATTTTTGAAATTTGAAGCCCTGAAATGCCATTTCCTGCATTCTGAGCATTTAAATTTGCTCTAAAATTTATGCTAAGTATACAATTGTCATGTATTTGGAATAAAAGAAGGAGAAAATGCACAAAAAATAAAAAAATTATTAATAAGAATTTATCATTACTTAGTGCCAGGTAGAAAAACGTAACAATTTAAATCGATTTTGTTAAACATGCAAGGACAAAGGATAAAGCTTAAACATACTTTTTGTTTATCAATTTGTTATGTTTCGCTGGTTTGTGTATAAATTTAGGAAAAAGGGATTTTTCCTGGGGGGGATGTGATTTTGTGTGTGGGGGGGGGGGGGGATAA